AGTGGAACCCCTTCTCCATTTTTCCCTCTCATTCCTACCCACAGGTTGTATAGTTCATTTTAACATAGTATCTAGAGATTACCACTGCTGCATTTGTTCACCCTTTGTTTCTGTGGAGGCCATGATTTTTAAGAAATGGTATGAGGGGCTGAGAAGGTGGCTCAGTGGTAGAGTGCTTACCTTACATACATGAGGCCCTGGGATGGATTCCTCAGCACCACATAAGCAGAAAAGGACTGAAGTGGCGCTGTGGTTCAAGTGGTAGAGCTGAGGGACAGTGCCCAGGCCCAGAGTTCAGGCCCCATGGCTAACAAAAAAGAAGAAAAAGAAAAAAAAAAAAAAGGAATGGTATGACATTAGATCAGCCAGGTGCTAGTGTCTAACCCAGTAATCCTAGCTTCTCAAACAGATGCCTGAGGATTGGGATTAGGAAAGTCCATGAGACTTAGTGCAGCTGTGACTCAAGTAACAGAGCTCTAGCCTTTATCAAAAAGCTGAGACAGAACCTAGGTCCTGAGTTCAAGCCCCAGTACTGGCACAAAAAAAGAAACAAGTAAACTTCTGTACTCATTCTGGAACTGCAAGAGAACTGGAATGGATTAAACCAGTAGAGAAATCAGCCATGAAGCCTTTGGCAAGAAGAAATGAAAAATTAAGGCAGAAATGACAGACTAAAGAATGGATTAGAAATCTAGAAGAGAATTTAGAGAACATAAGAATTGAAACAAACAGGACAAAGTCCAAAGGTAAGTAAAAGCAGCTGTTCAATAGCTTAACATTTTTAATAAACACTAAATTGAAATTTTGGTAAAGGTCATAGAGGTCAGTCCTCTTGAATTATACTTCATAGGATTTAAGGAATATAACTTTGTTTTGGTAGATCTTTATTTAAAAAACAAACAAACACCTAGTTAAGCTGGAAACCAGTGGTTTATCCTTGTAATCCTAACTACTCAGGAGATTGAGCTCTCAATTTAATGGTTTGAGGCTAGCCCTGGCAAGAGAGTTCGTGCGGTTCATCTCCAATTAACCAACAAAGAATCAGAAGTAGAGCTCTGGCTCAATTAGTAGAGCACCAGCCATGAGCAAAAAAACTCAGAGAGGGGCTGGGAAGGTGGCTTAGTGGTAGAGTGCTTGCCTTGCATGCATGAGGCCCTGGGTTCGATTCCTCAACACCACATAAGCAGAAAAAGCCAGAAGTGGTGCTATGGTTCAAGTGGTAGAGTGCTAGTGTTGAGCTGAAGAGCTTAGGGACAGCACACAGGCCCAGAGTTCAGGCCCCACGACCGACAAGAAAAAGAAAGAAAAAAAAAAGCTCAGAGACAATGCTCTGCCTTGAGTTCAAGCCAACGACTGGTACCAAAAGAAAAAAATCCTGGTCGAAGTAATATGTAAGCTTTTCTTTTTGTGTTTGTTGGTATTGGAACTTGAACTCATGGCTCAGCACTCTTGCCTGGCTTTTTCATTCAAGGCTGGTACTCTACCACTTGAGCTATAGTTCCACTTCCAACTTTTTGCTGGCTGATTGACGATAAGTCTTCATGAGTTGGTTTTGATTCTTAATCCTCAGATCTCAACCTCCTGAATAGATGGGCTTATAGGCATGAACCACCAGAACCCAGGTTCAACATGTTTAACATAAAATCTTAAGTTGACTACCTTGCTTTCAAATAAGACTTTCAAGTAATACACAATGTAAAGCAAATTATTCAAGAAAACTACTATTTTAGAGTCAGCCTGAAAAAGAATATAACCTTCTCAAGTGATTATTCTTGCTGATTCCTGGCACTGAAAAAACGTATACAAAAAATACAGTATCAACTATGACATTAATATCTAAAAGCCTTGTAATAAAATACATTAAATATTATCAAGATCACAAAAAGACAGTTGAGTGCTGTGACTCATACCTGTAATCCTAGCTGAGAACTGTGGATCAATGTTCAAAGCCAGCCTAGGCAGGAAAGTCCTTGAAAAAAAAAACAGAAATGGAGCTGCAACTTAGTACAGCACTAGACTTGAGCAGAAAAGCTAAGTGATAATATCCAGGCCCTAAGTTTAAGTCCCAGTATATACACACACAGAATCACAAAAACAGTATTTAAAAACCAAACATGGCTGGGCTGGGGTGTGGTCCTTATGGTACAGTGCCTGCCCAGCAAGCATGAATTCAAGCCCTAATACCAGTAAAGATAAACAGAGGCAAAATGAGAATAATTAAAACTATATAAAGAGGCAACTTATTTTGTTTCACAAGAATATTAGAAGAGCTAGATTCTTAATTATAGTGCTTAGGTTTTTGTCACTTCAAAATTACAGGAAGATGCTCTATATTTTCAAGAAGGAACAGCATGTTTAAGCTTGTTGTTTTTTTTTTTTATAATCTTGGCTTACTTAATAGCTGAGTCAGCCTATTACGTCACTGGAGCTAATGGGTAGCTGTAATTATATTATTGATCTAAAAGCTAAAAGCATGAGAAACTAGAAACCATGTACCTTTAAAGAGAATTCACAAATAGCCTTGCCTGTCATTTTTTTCTTTTTCTTTTGAGTTCCTTTTTATTTTTTTTAATTGTGAAAATACAATACAGAGGGCTTACAATTACATGAGCAAGGTAATGAGTACATTACTTATCAAGCATTGTGCCTGTACATTTTAAACGACTGGCAGTTCAGCCTATTACTCATTATCCTGCCACTTAATGATAATAAAACATAGAACCCTTTTTCAAAGTAGAGGGGCATGGTAACCCAATATGCTACAAGATTCCATAGTATGTTTCCATAGCTATCTGGGCCTTAAGAAAGGAGATAGCTGATGGCACTAAACTAGGTAGCATTTCATATTTTGGCTTATAGTCTACTTACAATGGGGTAAGTGTAGATTCTTGCCAAATTCAAATTCTTTTTGGTTTGTTTTAGTAGACAGGACCCTCCCTATGTAGACCAGACTGACCTCATGTGATCTTCATGCTGCCAAATTCAAATTCTTTTTGGTTTGTTTTAGTAGACAGGACCCTCCCTATGTAGACCAGACTGACCTCATGTGATCTTCATGCTTTAGCTTCTAGGATTATAACTAGGATTATAGGTGTATGCCACTGTGTCTGGGCAAATTCTGGGCAAAAGGAGCCTGACAAGAACATAATGATCCTTGAGAATTTCTGCATGTGAAAATGGATAAACAGTTAAGCATAAGCATTAAAGTTCTATGTCTGGGGCTGGGAAAGTGGCTCAGTGGTAGAGTGCTTGCATACATGAGGCCCTGGGTTCGATTCCTCAGCACCAAATAAATTTTTTTAAAAAGGCAGAAATGGCACTGTGGCTTAAGTAGAGCACTAGCCTTGAGCTGTTCAAGCCCCACGGCGGTCATAAATGGCAAATGATTTTGTCTAGACACCTTCACAAAAAGATTAAAATAAAGCCAGTCTTATGTTGCATACCTGTAATCCCAGCAGTAGGATGAATGAAAGTTTGATGACAGCCTAGGCTCCATGCTAAGACTTTGTAAATAATAATGATAATGATAAAGTTAAAATATTGCAAGATGTTCAAAAGAGGTAATAAGCTTCCCCCAACCTGTCAACCTAGTTTGTTTTTAAATTGTCCAAACCATGAAATCTAATAATTAACCCTGTGAGGGACCATTTTTTTTTAAGTCTTGTGTTTTTTAACTCTCACAACATCTCTGAATAAATAATATAATCATTTGACAAAAGAGGACAAATACTTACTCAAGTAGGACTTGGATCAACAGGTTAGAGGAATGCTAGAAACTTAAACCTCCTAATAAAATTTCTAAGGTTGCTTGAAGGCAGCTTCTTAATAAACATTTTCCTTTTTGATATTACATGTGATATTACTTGGTGAGGGATAATATTTGGAGTTTTACTCGAGTATAGTAATAACAAAAAGATTTCCTTTGCTTTCCAGAGAAGTTTAACTTGGAAGCAGATGGTCAAAATGTTACACAACAGTGATTTTTTTTAACTGATTCAACATAGATTCTGTGTCAGCACTTTGCACCGCATACACAAAGCTCATCAGCTAGGAATCCAGCATAAAATATAGCTGTGGCCTGACGATATAGTTCCGTGGAAGAGAGCTTGCTTTTGCATGCTCCAGACCCTGGGTTTGCTCCCCAGCGCAACCATGAAAGCAATCGTAGTAACTGGTGAGTCTCTGAGAAAGAAATGTGTTACTTTGAGCAATTCTGAGTCCGTGATCACTGAATCAAATATCCGAAATAAAGCCACAAGGGCCAATCACTAACAAAACACAGACGCTGGAAATCTGCAAGCATTCAAGTGTCATCCATCCTACACGTGTTGGCTTCAAATGCGCTCCTGGGGGCCAGCCGGCCGGGGTGGGAGACGGCTGAAATCTCAGAAGCACTCCGAGAGGAGGCGGCAGGAAGAGCACGGTTCCCGCCAGCCGGCCGGGGCGACACCGGCAGCGAGGCCCCGAATCCAAGTGCAGATAGATGAATACCACTTACAACGCCCGGGAAGACCGGGAAACCGGAGCCAAAGCAGACCGGATCTCTACCCCACGCACCCCTCTCCGGCTCGGCGTGGGAAGTGCTCAGGAGTCCAAACCACGAGCGAACCGTTGAAGCCTGTGAATGGCGAGGGGCACAGTTGACAGCGCGGGGAGGGAGGCCCTTTCCACCTCACCAACGCCGGCCTTCCCCACCCCACGTGTCCCCGCGCCTCCGGGCTGCCCGGAGCCGGCGGTTACACCCCAACACGCCGCCGGCCCCGGCCTCCCACCTCTCCAGCACCCCGGGCCCGGCACACCAGTGCGTCCCGCGGGGAGGGAGGGGTCGGGGGGGGGGGTCGCCCGGCGCGGGGCCGCGGAAGGTGCGGACGGCGGGGAGGACGCTGCCCCCTAGGGGAGCCGAGCCGCAGGCCCAGGCCCGGCGGGAGGGGCGGGCGCAGGAGGCGGCCGCTGGGAAGGCCGCGCCGTCGGGCGGGGCGGTCCCTCCAGCGGGCCGGGACCTGAGCGGCGGCGGCGGCGGCGGCGACGTCGGCCGGGACCGGACGGGACGGGGATCCGTGGCCGTTCCTGGCTGTGACCCTCGGCTCCTCAGCCCAGGCGCGGCGGCCGCGGACGGACCGAGCATGGCCGAGTCCCCGCCGCCGCCCACCGCGGATGCTGAAAGTTGCAGCGGAGAGCTGGCGAGCGGCGGGGAGCGGCGGCCGGAGGAGCCGCCCGGCGCGGCGACCCGAGAGGGCGAGGCGGGGCACTCGGAGCCCGGCTCGCCGGCGGCCGCCCCCTTCTTCCTGCTCTACCCGGGCGATGGAGGCGCGGGCTTCGCGGCGCGCCCGCCGCCGCCGCCACAGCGCGCCTGGAGGACGCCGCCGTCGCCGGGCTCCCCGCTGCCCTTCCTGCTGCTGAGCTACCCGAGCGGCGGCAGCGGCGGCGGCAAGCACCGTGAGTGGCGGGGCGCGGGGTGTGTGGGGGGGGGGGGAGACGGGGACGCCGGCGGGGATCCGGGCACGGGTCCCGCGGAGCTCCGCCTCCCGCCGGGACTCGGAGCCGGGCGGGCGGACTGGCGCACGGGTGCCGAGTGGCGTGTCCAGGCCACGGGCTCCCTCCCTCGGGCCGCGGCGCTCGTGCTCCGCGCCCCCCACGTGCTCGGCCGGGGAGGGGGAAGAGGTCGCGCGCGGCCCGCGGGGGGTCGCAGGCCCGGGCCGGGCCGCCCCTCAGCGCCGCCCTCGGGGCGGGGGAGAGGGGTGCGCCGGGAGCCGCGGCGGCGGCGGCGGTGGTAGGTGTGGCTGTGGGGGCCCCCCCGCCGCCGCCGCCCGGGCGGCCTCCGCTCTGCTCGGGAAATTGATTTTTACGAGCTTTCTCCAGTAAATGACAGCTCCGTCGCTCTCCTGGGAAGGGGAATCCCGAGCCAGGAGGAGACGGAGGGAGAGGGAAGTGTGGCTCGGGCAGGGCACCTCCCAAGGTGGGGTCTTTTGTCCGGAAGCGGCCTCCGCGTGGGAAGGCCTCTGTCACCCCGAGGTCCCCGGGCGCGGCGCGGCCCAGCCCACCCCGGGCCGGGTCTCATCCGCCTCGCCGCGCGCGCCCTGAGCCGGGCCTCGGGCTGGAGGATGCATGAGGACTCTTGGAAGAGTACGCGACCTGGCTTCCAAAGACAAGATGTCGTGTGATGGAAATGTGGCTGGCGACACTGAGTGGGTTGTACACGCCAGAAACCTTGCTGAAGGAGTTCTGAAAGAGTGAGGAACTTGCCCCGGGGCGGCGGAGGAGGGGGAGGCTCCTCCCCGCACCCCCCTACTTTTAAAGCTGGCCAGTGCCAATCTTTTCACTGCTCTGCCCTGCCAGGAAACTCTGACTTGGCTTTCTCTGCCTTGGATCCAACTCCTAGGCAAAGATAAGACATTGCTGGGTATGTCCTAGGCTGTGTGATTGATTAGCATGCTCAATATGTCTCTGTAGTGATATTAAATATGGTGCCCTTTTTTCAGATGATCACGTAATCTGTCCTTAGTAACAGTTTAAAAAAAAAAAAAAAAAGGAATGAAGTGACCCAAATTCCCTATCTACCAAAAGCCAGGTTCCTTAGTCGTCATCTTACAGAGGTCCAAACCTTGAGTCAGGTTAACAGTAAATGGCCCCTGGATTCAGCTGCCCATAGTCCAAGGTTCCTTCACTTTACTGCTGACCTAGAAAGTGGACCAAGAGGAGCATTGGCTAAGAAGCTTAGTAAAACAGAAGTCTTTGGGAGTGCTTTGCACTAATCTCCAAATGGGAGTGAGCCTCTAACTCACTCACAGCTGAAACAAGTCTTTTGAATAGCAGAGAAGACTATGGCAGATAAGGATATACTCAAGGCTGACTACTTTCCATTTTCTAAGGAATCAGCTTTCTGCTTTAAGCACAACCTTTTTGCTCTCCTTAGAAAATTCTACTTCGTGGTAAGAGTGCTTGCCTCCCGTGCATGAGGCCCTGGGTTCGATTCCTCAGCACCACATAAGCAGAAAAAAGCCGAAGAGGTGCAGTGGCTCAAGCGGTAGAGCACTAGCCTTGAGCTGAAAGCTGAGGGCCCCAGGCCCAGAGTTCAGGCCCATAACCGACATCCCCCCCCAAAAAAAATTCTCTTTCTGTGTAATCTGCTTATTAACCACATCACTATACAATGAAGATACTCCTGTCTGTACTCTGTGCAGCAACTGTGACACAAAATTTGATATAGAAGAATTTTTCAACTATTGGCCAGTATTGGTTGTAGGTACTGTCAAGTATTGTTGGAAATTTGGACCTACATATGATAACAACAGGAATGGAAGACTGTTATAATCTCTTACTGTGACTCAGAAAGTATATGGGGTGATTACTCAGCATCCAAAAGTTTTCTGACTATAATTTCAGTAGATTTGGGGGGGGTGTGTTTTGTTTTGGTGATACTGGGGTCTAAACTCCCGGCCCTGCACTTATTTGCTAGTCATGGTTGAGGGTACAACCTCCAGACCTAGCACATGAAAGTTTTAGAATTTTCTCATGATCTTTACTTCTGAAATAGTTGATCAATGTGTAAATATTCAGAAAAAACACAGATCCATTTCCTCTGCTTTAAAAAAAAAACAGTCACGACTCACTACATATATATACTATATATAGCCACTAAAGACTCACTATATGTTTATAATTTTGTTGTATTTATATAATTGACTTAAAGTACTTCTTGTTTGGAACATTGAATTTTTTTATCTTATATGATATCTTTTGTAATTTACAACATACCTAAAAAAGAATACTCTACAGGGTATCTTGTTGTCCTCTCGTATTTCTTTCTATAATGTACCTGAGGTCTTCAGACCTTCCATTTATTTATTTTGAAGCAGGATGTTATGATGTAGCCCAAGCTGGTCTCAAACTCAGTTCTCTTGCCTCAACCTCCCTGGTGCTGGGATTACAGGCATGCACTACCATGACCTGCAAAGATTTCTCACTTTAATTACCAAGACACTGCTTGAATTCATATCCAACACCAAATGAGATCTGAGGGTCACAATTCAAATCCAGCCCAGGGAGGGAAAGGCCATGAGATCCTTAATCTCCAATTAACCACTAGAAAGCCGGAAGTGGCACTGTGGCTCAAGTGGTAGAGCACTCGCCTTGAGCTGAAGAACTCAGGGACAGCAACCCAGGCCCAGAGTTCAAGCCCCATGACCAACAGAAAAAAAAAAAGTTACACATAGATCTCTTCTCATTGCTTAGAAGCTTTATAATATAAAGATATATCGTACAAAGTACTTTCTCTGTGAACCCCAGTCCCACCATGCTCATTTGTTCCTAATAGGAATCTTCAAGGGGCTGGGAAGGTGGCTCAGTGGTAAAGCGCCTGCCTTGCATGCATGAGGCCCTGGGTTCGATTCCTCAGCACCACATAAGCAAAAAGAAAAAAGCCAGAAGTGGCTGCTGTGGTTCAAATGGTAGAGCGCTAGCCTTGAGCTGAAGAGCTGAGGGACAGTGCCCAGGCCCAGAGTTCAAGCCCCAAAACCGGACCCCCCCCCCCAAAAAAAATAGGAATCTTCAAGTGTCATGAACTCAAATTCACAAACACAAAATTGTATTATTTTGTGGTGCCTTTTACCTCTTGGTATATGACCTTCCATGCCAGTTTCTCATCAACTATCTAAAAATTAGTTAATTGCATGCCATCATGCCATATTTTAATACCTTTCTTTCCCATCTAACATTTGAAGTCTGCTTGTGAATGGACAGATGAACAAACAGTGCTTAACTTAGTGTTGGATGGAAGAGACATTCCTGCTCTGCCTGGTTCACAGCTTCCATTTACAGTTACTCTCCTTCCAACTCCTAGAGCACTATTTGTGTTCAAGCCAGTACCCTGCAAATAGTCCACATTTCAGCTTTTGTCTTTTCTCTTCCAGTTGCAGCAGTATACAAAAAGTATCCACTTACAAAGAAGGAGCTTTCTTACTCTATTTGTGTGCTTTGCAATGGGAAGGGGATAGGAAGAGGAATAGGAAAAAAAAAAAAAAAAATTTTGAAAAAGACTAGTTAGTTGTGTTACTATGATTACCCAGTCTAGAGTATACTAAGCAGTGAAAGCTATGGTTGACTCCTAGGTAGTAGTATATTGAAAAGGATGTGATTGACTGTCATACATGCCCTTGAAGAATCCATCATATGGGGCAGGAACTCCAAATTTACCTATAAACCCAGTACAGTGTTTACAGGAAGAAAACAGTTCCTGCATTTACAGTTTTATGTTTGTATATCTTTTCTATTTATTTGTTTGTAGTTTGACTTAACTGTAGTTACATTTGAATAATTGTGAAAAGGCCCAAAATCTTCTGAAAACTCCCAGGACTGCTGGCCAAGGTGGTGTTCTGCTTGGAAAAGCCATTTAGTAACTGCGTGGCTACAAACTTGAATGCTATTCTTACCAGAAAGTCAATGCAGCCAATCAACCTTGATCTGGTATCTAGCAAGAGAGTAATTCAGGCAACATGCTAATGCAGTGAAAGTGACAGGAAAGTTGAAATATACTTTGAATAGATTGATAACACTCTTGTTTTGCGTAAGAATTGCAGTGTTCAATGCAGAGTGGAAGAGGCTCACTGAATTACATTAGATCCAGGTTTACTGCCCTGCGTGGGTAAGTTAAAGGCATGTTTTTAGAAATATTTGTTGCCCCACCTTAAGCTAAAGAAAAGCCTATCATTCATCCTTAAGTGAATAGAGTACTCAAACCCATTCTTGTGACACTCAAGACCTTGGGGGGCGGCAACCTAAGACTGGCTGAAAGTTTATTATCAGTATTCTCTGAGTCCTTTTTATCTCATTCTGCATTTCAGGTTTCTTTGACATTTTCCCTGTGCTCATGGCTAGCTGTCAACAGTACTCAGTGCACAGGATACTCAGCATGTGTGTGGGGAAGGGAGGTGGATGGTGCAGAGATGGGAGCATTGTACAGAAGAGTTGTCAGGATTAGACAGCAAGGAGGCACACAGAAAGCAGTTTTTAGCACATCACCTTTTAGAAGATGCTTCTTTCTTCTAACCTCACAGTCTGCTTTGGGATTCTCCATATTTGTTTACCTTCTTCTGTTGTCATTTTTTATGAATTTAAGAAATCTTGTAATCTAGTTTGAATATTTGGCTTGGCAAAATCCCAACTCTTCTTGCTCACAACCTGAGAAACAAGTTTTTTGTTTGTTCAGCTATCCTTTTAACTTTTCCTTCAGTCTCATAGCATTAGTCTTTGTAGACTTTCATGTAATTACAGTCATGTTTTTTGTGTTTCTAGAACTCTGAAAAGCAGAAGCCTGTATCACATCTCTGCACTTGGGGGAGGATGAGGGTAGGAGGATTGTGAGTTTTAGGCCAGCTTGGTCTATGTAGCAATACCCTGCCTCAAACCGAAGACAAGGGGGAAAAAGCTTCTGTCAGTAT